ATCATGCTGTCCGACTCTGAGAATGTATTGTATCCTCCCAATGTATACTTCTATTTGTATTTATGTCGTTTTTTAACAATATTTCAGTTATACAACGGCATGTCTGCTTACGGTGGTAGTAAAACCCATGGAGACACAAGTCTTAGGCTTCTACTAATGTGCTGAAAAAAATAAACACGGCAATTGTCATACAAAGCAAGTATGGCAATGCTAACGAATATGGGATTCGAACCACGACCATGGTCCATATAGGAACGAACCATTGCATATCTGATCTCTGTAAAATATAATTACTCACTTAGCTACCAATGCTTCTGATCCCAATTTAATTTCCAAAATCCCGAGTTGCATGTTCTAACCGGTTTAAAGTCAAATTTAACATTCATATTAAGCAACAGCAAAAAAATATTTGAAAACAAATATGCAATATGTGTTTGTGATAGGCGCCAACGGTTCAACAGGGGCGAGAAATTGTTCAATCTCAAGATCAAATTTTTGTTGGGGAAAGAAAATGCATTTCAACATTGAGGATTACATTAGTTTCAACGAAATAATGACCCTAAGAATTTGTTTCCGACACATTTTTTCAGACATACATCCTGTCCATATAAACATTGAAGGAATTGAAATCTGAATCGCAATAGCTCAGGGAACAAATTTAAAACAAAATGGAAGGGTTCACGCCCTCACATCTGTTGATAGAAAGTGTAATCCAAAATATATAATTTTTTACATTTGACTACTTCATTAAAGGCTTAGCGTTGTTGTTATAGAATTATACCAATTATCATGAATTTATTGCTCAGCATCAAACAGTTGCACATAAAAGTTAAAACTAATGTTATTTATCAAAACAGTTAAATCAGTTTCCTACTGTCAGTCTTAAATCGCCAAAATGCGGGTAAAATACGACTACTTACCGGTTACGAGAAGCGACGATTGACCTGTGATTAAAACACTTATCATTCCCTTATATACAATCATTTTACAATGTCCATCGTAATAAGACGCTAGTCCAATATTTTATCAAAACATACAAAACAAACTATCATGAATTTACATATTGTAAGAATAAATCCCAAAACGATGTCCTAGTGTCAATTAATGCCTGAAACCACCTTAGTACCACAACCTTTTCACTTCAGACAAACATTCAAGTGCATTTAGTTTCAAACCGGTATTAGAAAAACGATCAAGCAAATAGGAGAAAGGGTGATGCATAGCAGTGGTCAAATATTGAATGTTAATTAACTCGTGGTGGTTTTGAAGTTGAGCATTATGTAAAAAAAATGAACAGATTGAATTAACGGTTCTGATTATTATGTATTGATGTACATATCGTGCGTGTAATATACACGTCCTGTGTGTTAACGGATGAATTAATGGTGGTGCTGAGTAAATTTAATTTTAATTTTAATTTTAATTTTGTAGCATTATTTATATTGTCATATCATACGTGTAAAACCAAAAAAACAAAAAACATGCATCAAGTTCCAGATGGGGCAGTGGGGTAGGTGTGTGGTTCTATTGCCCATGTGGGTACACATTTCTCGTTGACCTCGACGTGACATTGCTGGAATGGTACTAAAAGCGACTCAAAACCACACTCACTCACTAACTCACTCACGGTTATGACTTACTCAGTGAAAGAACAATGGGGAACGTTCTATGGATATACACCTTTTTTGTTATTAATATGAGCGAGGTTTCAGTGTAGCTACTAACACCGTTATCAAGTGATGTCACTCGATGAATCACACACACTCTCACTCGTAATTATCGATGCACGCTAAAACTTAAAGATGTCTCTGTCGTGTGTCGTAATTCATATCTTGGGAAACGTTTCTGTCGTCCGTATATCGTAAAGGTCTCCCGCCAAGGCTCTGTTTGCCATATCATTTGTTTGTTTTGTTCATATTAAATCCCACTAACAGATAAAATGCTATTTCCTGTCACACAAGTAGACATTGTTGTGACATAATGCAGTTTATATACTCATAACTTTATGTCATTCGAACAACAAGGTTAAAAGGGTGTTATAATATTCTAACAGTTTTGAATGAATGAGTTCAAGTTGACTCAAGCGCCTGTCCACGGAGCGGGTGGTACGATTTTCCGCCGGCGGGATACCAGGGAGACTATATAAGAGAGTGTCCCTGGTGATACTAAAAGACATGCACTTTTTGTTACCCTGCCTGGAGTTCAACGTTTAGTGGACAAAACAAGGACTAGCTGTATATTCTGTATACTGTGACTAAGTATCGAAATTAATATAATACCCAGCAGGGGCTTACCCTATGACACAGGCTTTAGTCCGGGCTGGTACAAGCAGCCACACCCACGCACGCACCCACACACGCAGATACACACATTCCTCACGTATAACCAATGCCTTTGATATACTGAATTGTTTACAGACCGCGGTAGCATATCCTGAATAGTATCGACTGCGGGATTTAGGGATTAAGCAACAACCACCGAACCACTCAAAGTTTATAGTTATCTTTAATGGATCTGTTTACGAAATGGACATTTTCATTTTGGATATTTGATCAAATACAAGATGAAGAGTAATTCATAAAGAATGTTTTAATTCTGTAATCTTGTTGTGGCTCATTTGTCAAGAGAGAGAGAGCGAGAGAGAGAGAGAGAGAGAGAGAGAGAGAGAGAGAGAGAGAGAGAGAGAGAGAGAGAGAGAGAGAGAGAGAGAGAGAGAGAGAGAGAGAGAGAGAAGTTGTTTGAATTACACCGACAGCCTGGGTTTCAGACACGGCAGCAATTAATTACATACTCACATTGTCAGTACTCACCAAATCGTGCAGCATATAAATAATCTATCAGGGCAAATTACCGTCTTTCTCCAGCCCCGAACTGGGATTCCGGAATATGACATGACAATATTAACTTCTAAGAACGCTGAAAGTAGAACTATTTTGACAATCGTCATCCATGTCCTATGTTGCTAAATAAAAACAAGGATCTTCCAAATGTAAATGTACTGAAGACTATTTATGGCTAGGAACGCACAGCGTCTATCAGCATATATTTATGACGTATATATGACAAAGGAAGGTAGTCTGGACATGACAGCAGTGGAGTTTCTGACCATCCTTTGTGAAATGCCCGAGTAGGTCAATCAGCTCTCAATCTACATTACGCAATGACCTCATGTGATAAAGATATCAGTAGGCTCGTCTGATTTGATCTTTCTTAACTCTGCTAAATTGATCCAACATTAGTGTACTATTCATTGCCTTATTGCAAGAATCAAACTGGCTTAGTGAAATAAATGCTAACCGAAACAACAATAACAGGCATTTTTCATTTTAAAGAGAATGTTGAATGATGACATCCCGCAAATACTTCATCATCAAACATTTATGAAATCACACAAATACTTCTTCATTAAGCATATACGAAATCACACAAATACTTCATCATAAAGCACGTATGAAATCCCATAAAAACATCGTCATTAAAGCATATATGAAATCCCACAAATACGGTATCATAAAGTGTGTATGATATCACACAAATACTTCATGATCAGGCATATTTGAAACACCATAAATAATTTATCATCAAACATTTATGAAATCACACAAATATTTCATCATAGAGCATGTATGAAATAAAAAAAAATACCATATCAGTAAGTATTTATGAAATCACACAAATACTTTATCATTAAGCACATATGGAATCCCACAAGTGCTTCTTCATTAAGCATATACGAAATCACACAAATACTTCATCATAAAGCATGTATGAAATCACATAATACTTCATCAGTAAGCGTTTATGAAATCACAGTAATACTTCATGATTAAGCACATATGAAATCCCACAAATGCTTCATTATTAGGCATATATGAAATCCCATAAACACTGCATCATTAACAATGTATGTTGTCACACAGTTACTTCATCATTAAGCTTATATTAACTGACACAAATACTTCATCATCCTGTTCAAATATTACAGGAACATTACAGGGACATTTCTGTTCCATTCATGCATTACATGAATTAGTTAAAGCCACATTAGTAGATTTGCGCATGTGCAGATATACACACGTGTTTACATGTAAATTATACTACGTGTTCAAATGAAAACAATAGGACTATTAAGGTATGTATATCTTGGAAAGAGTGTTTGCTTGTCGGAGAGGTATGAGAAGAGAAATGCCTCATTAATTGAGTTCATCTTTACTTATTGGTCTGACAAATGAACGATGACACGATAAAATGCATGTCGATACATTTTAGTATAAAGTGTTATCAATTTCTTAAATCTTCTGCAAAATGCTTTGGGATTGTGATCTTTCCACACGTGTGCATTTTTAGCAAGCGTTCATATTACATCTACATACAGTGCACATTTGCACATGTGTAAATTTACCTTTGCACCTGCCCCAGACCACATGCAAATGTGCTCCTGGTGTAAAAATACACACGTGAGTCACTCAGTCACTGAACTCGTTCACATAACCTGACTACACATGTATGTATATGTACATATGTATGCAAATATACAAATATGTACACATATAGGTGCCTGTGAAGGGAGTATAAGCTAACATAGCTTTTGATAAACTTCCGTGATAAAACCAGCTGAACGTAGAACTGACGACAAATTAAACATGCAAATATACAAACGTGTGTTTATGTATAGGTGCCTGTGAATGGAGTATAAGCTAACATAGCTTTTGATAAACTTCCGTGATAAAACAAGCTGAACGCATAACTGACGACAAATTAAACATTCAAATATACAAAGGCCTGTGTATGTATAGGTGCCTGTGAATGGAGTATAAGATAACATGGCTATTGATAAACTTCCGTGATGAATACGCTCAACGTAGAGCTGACGACACTAAACAATCATGAGCCATTCTAAAGCGAAACAAGCATTCGTCGAATGTAAATGTAGGAGAATCAGAGTATTTCCGGCTAATAACGCATGGTTAGTTGTCGCTATTTATAATCTGATATTTTTATAAAGGAGTACAGACAGGGCATGTTAGCAGATTCCGACTTTACTGCGTGAAAATCCCCTTTCAGGTGGTCAGGTGAGTTCACACGTTGTTTATATGATAACATATATAGTTATGGTAGTTGGGTACTTTCTTCAGGGAACAGTTACCGGATAGTAGCATGCAAATAGTTGAATATCTTGGGGTCATGTAGCTATAAGTTGCATGACCTACCAAGGGATGGCCTAAAACTCGGGCCGGGCCGTTAAACGTCTGTTGTAGTTCGATAAAGGTGTACTGACATGGAGATGCTGTAGTTACACCCGTTATTGTAGCTATATGTGTACTGTATGTGTACAAGTACAAGGTTCCTGGGGTTCGTGTAAGAATACAGTTGTTGTAGCTTCCTTGAACAATAGAGGCATTGTTGTAGCTATGGAGATGTTGTAGTTACATTCGTTATTGTAGCTATGTGAGTACTGCATGTATGGGGTACCTGGGGTTCGTGTAGCTACATATTTAAGTGTAGATACGTTGTTGTTGCTACACGTCACGATACTGTTGACGTTGCATGTGACAATACAAACACTGTGGTATACACCCGGGGGATTTAAACAAATTGTCGCAGATGTTTACGATTTATCCCCCCTCTAAACACACACACACACACACACACACACACACACACACACACACACACACACACACACACACACACACACACACACACACACACACACACACACATATATCACAGAATATTATACATGTCTCTGAAATCCCCACGCCTTCAAGGACTTTTGACCTTGAGAATTCCCACTCAATCCAAGCATATCATAATATCGATATGTTTTCAGCTGAATCAAAAGTACAGCTTTTTGAAGATACGTTTTTGAATGAAATTCCAAGGAGACGGGCATGCCCGTTAGTGGAAATCGATCCGGTTCAAGCTGTCACCATGACTTGAGGTTATTCAAGTCCTTCCTGAAGAGAAATGTGGCAGTCCTATTTCCACATTGTGAAAAGATTACTTCGAAATTATATGCATTCTGATTATTCTATATATAACTCCACATCGTAGCTAGTCATTGTGTTCCCATTAACTTTCCCGATGACGAATGGATTCGTTTTTGTAGGAACATTTGAGGATAACAAGATCATGCATGTTTTAATGCGTGTTTAAATCAAAATGAAAACGTACATTCATGTACCCATGCACTCAGTACAATACATATGCATGCCGACTGAAATAAATATGACTGGTTGTGGCGTGCAAACAATTCGTCCACGTTCAAGTCGCTGTACGGGGATTCCCCGCTCTATTTATAGATCAGTAATGTTATGACTAATAGGAAATAGATATAGCGCTAAATCAAAGTTTCTGTAGCTATGTAGCCCTTTTAGCGTTTCTTTGGCATATTTATAAACATTACTTCACGGGAGAAACTGTACAATGTGAATACCTAGTAAAGATAACGCTGTGTTTAGTGAGCGGAAGCGCGTCGGAATGCGGGTCAGAATTAAGGAGTGGTTATCTCCCTTTGTCATGACGCTAGGTCTTTTTTCATGAATTTCGCAGAGATTGTTAATGGGATTTCCGAAATATGCATGTTAAATACACCTTAGATCGTGATGTCAGTTCACAGACTGACTCATAGCGACAAGCGGAAGGCTATATTTGAGTACTGGGCATAAGACATAGGTAGGTATTTCGGTCTTAGATTAATCTCATATAGTTACAGTGTGAAATACATGGAAAGAATACATAACCTGTAATAATTACGTTTACTATAAATAATAATTTATGTTTATGTGTTTTCTAATAAGTTCATTTCTATACATTGTTCACTGTGAAATATGATATTCACGAATATATGTGTGTATATATTCACACATTCATATATATAATACCTATCTGTCTGTCTGTCTGTCTGCCTGTCTGTCTGTCATAATACTTAGTCAACGATGTTCCATGTTATTGTTTCATAAAATGCTTCTTATTCAGCCCTCCCCGGAAATCATATGGGTCACCCGGGTATCTCTCTCTCTCTCTACAATTATTATATCATTCTTCAGCAGTAGTTTCTCAGACTCTACAAGCAAAAATTGTTCGAATTCTCATTATTTGGTTAGTGGACAGTTTATGATAATGCTAAAGTGGAGGTTAAAGACACAATAGCTAGCTGTTCGAAGACGGAACTAAACGTATCACCTTCAGCCGTCATATTGCTGTAATATTGCTAAAAGCCTAAAAAACCATACTAACTCAGTGAGTGATATTAGTACCCTGTACAACTGCAGTAAATGTAGACAATATATCTGTCATGGAAACTTTTCAGCACACGAGTTTCGTGTCTATATATAGGTTAGGCCTTTCATAATATATTCAAGCAAAATAAACTGACATGTCAAATATACAAAGCCGTTGATTTTGAGTGAATGAGTGAGTGAGTATGGTTTTACGCTGATTTTAGCAATATTCCCACTATATCACGGCTGACACAAGAAATGGGCTTCACACATTGTAGCCATGTGGGGAATCGAACTCGGATCTTCGGCTTGACGAACGAACGCCTTAACCGCTAGGCTACCCCACCGCCCCTCGTTTCTTTTCAATCAATAAGGGACCACGCCAGCAGTAGGCGCCCTGTCCCAATATCCTCTTTTCACATCACCTCAGTTTCGGTGGGGGAGGCTATTGGTTACAGCGTTCGCTCGTCACGCCGAAGACCCGGGTTCAATTCGTCACATCGGCACAATGTGTGAAGCCAATTTCTGGTGTCACCCGTCGTGATATTGCTGGAATATGCCTAAAAAAACACACTGACACTTACACGGCGTAAAACCATACTCACTCTTGAGATTAGTTGACACGGCATCTGCATGGATGGAACCTTTTCTTTCTAAAATGAACTTACAATTCGTGACATGAATGTCTGTTCAGTCGACGTTGGAGTCGTTATCAAATATATAATCTATTCCTCTATGTTTGTTAATTGTCCATTGATATGTATGAGTTGTATGCTTCAATTTACATTTGTCTGTTTCCAGAAAAAATGAAACCGAGCACCGAGTCTTCACGAAACGAATTGTCCTGCGAAATGTGCAAGGATGACATGGTACAACAAAGCCAAGAGAAACGATCGATCACAGATGATACCGACTCCCTGTCAAACTCGTTCAAACAAATGAAGGTGGCAGACGTAGGCGAAAGAAGCTTACCTTCTCTGGATGATGGTTATTTCAGCCAATCAATCAGTTCACAAGATTTCCTTTTCGACACAAGCCACGTGGATGACAATACTAATAACAGTGTCCATTGTTATGGCAAGTGTCGTTCTTCAGATAGCAGCGATATTTGTACCGACTGTGACTGCAGTTCGAATTCGAACGTTGTGTACGCCAAGGACCTGGATGGCGACACCCAGCTTCACCTGGGCATTATCCAAAAACAATCCATGTTAGTTTTGTGGTTTATATCGCTGGCTCTTAGCCCAGACTGGCTAAACATAACCAATCGTCTTCTCCAGACCCCCTTGCATATCGCTACCATTATAAAAGATGCTTTGACAACACGACGTTTAATGGCGGCAGGCTCCAGCGTTGAAGCGAGAGATATGAACGGCAACACGCCACTCCATATTGCCTGTCGGGAGGGACACCTCGATATTGTACATCATCTTCTCACGCCTATTATGTTTGAGGAAACTAAAAGTAACAAATACGAACTACCTTATCAGAGAATACCCCAGGATCTTGATATTGCCAACTACGATGGCTACACATGTCTTCATCTCGCTGCCTTTGGAAGCCATCTTGATATCCTTGAACGTCTGTTGCATCGAGGTGCGAAGGTGAACTGTCGCGAGCGCAAGAGTGGAAGGACAGCGCTTCATTTTGCTGCAGAAACAAATAACATCCCCCTCTTGCAGTTCCTCCTTCGGAGGTCTGACATTGATGTGAACGCTGAAACCTACGGTGGACTGACACCACTTAGACTTGCCTCAGGCAGGAATCACACAGAAACCATTCAGCTTCTACTTGCCAGAGGAGCGTGCCGTTTCGACGACTCATCTGATGATTCTGAAACTTAAAATGACGTCTTGCAGCTAATAACTTAGAACTCAGAGACAGTCAGTAGTGTTTTTTTCACTGTGCAAAACATGTGCAAAAAGTCGTTTTGTCATGCACTCGTACTCGGTCAGATGCCACTGAAAACAGTAGCCGCTTGTGAGTTCGAACCTTGCAGTTTCGGTTCGTCTGCACCATGAGTAAAGTGCACGAACCAGGTCACGATAGTTTAAGGGTATGCTTTCTCACTGACCCCAACGCAGTTGCATGTGCTCAGTACCTAAACAGATCCAAAGCACGTTCACAAGTGCTTCTTGACTATTTACCCCTGTATATTAACGTTAATCTCTATTTATACAGCCTATGACATTCAAATAGAACATTAGCAACATATATTATTACATAATTGGGTGGCTTATCAAACGAGTTTCGTGCATGTTTTATCACTTATCTATACATCATGATATTAAGTATGCAAATATTTTCCCTATGTTACAGTATTCCAAACCTAAACATGAAATAATCTTTCATTGTATTTTGTCAAAGAATTATACCTTCAACATATTACCATCTACAACTACGCAGCATACACTGGTAGGTTTTTCCGTTAATTGTGACAAGGAAACAGTTTCAAACCGCTTTGGTTTAAGTTAATGTTTCCTCAGTCGGGTCTCATTTACAGTTACAATTGTGATCCCAAATGAACAGCTGTGCTGAAGTCACCGTTTCCTTAATCCATATGAAATGCACATCTTTAGCACATGCTGTAACAGCAATGGAGGTTTACATAACGTAGTAGTTAGGTTGGAATATAATTAATATATTAGTATATGATAGTATAATTACTAATTAATTTTAATCTTAGACATCATTCAGCTTGAATGTAATAACGCTGGTCGAAAGCAAGAACATGCCATTTCAGCCAGAAACATTTGATACATGAATATTTAGTGACAAGTTTGAATGATCTAAATCTCCATCGAATGACCAAAACTCACTAGTCGTTTCTAACACGTGTACTTGCTCTTGGCATCATCCCAATTGCGCAGATCGATGCTCATGCTGTTGATCACTGGATTGTCTGGTTCAGACTCGATTATTTACAGACCGCCGTCATATAGCTGGAATATTGCTGAGTGCGGTGTAAAACTAAACTCACTCACTAACTCAATCACTCACTCTTGGCATCAACATACAACTGAAAGGAAATAGCTATAGTTATAGATTGTATTCAGAAAACTAAAACTTGTTTTTCTTAGCATCTTCCAGAATAGCATTCATTTCACCACCAGTCGTAATACAGTTAAATATTGGAACTGGCACTTGACCAAATGTTGCCATCGTAAAATCAGATGTAATCGAGGCAGCAGTCATTTCGACTGAAATGTTTAAGCGGGGGAAGTGAGTAGTCATCGTTCAAAGTGGCTGGCTTTGGAAACATAACATTAAAGACACTGAAACGATAATTCTCTTCCGCTCAACGTTTCGATTGAAGTAACTCACGTGATTTTACCGTCTATTTCCGTATCAAGTTCTGGTTTTGACAGTTTTGTAATTGCACAGGAAATATTTGACACAATGTCTAGATTTATCTGTTTTCAGATTTATTTCTCCAAATGAACCTCAAATCATATTTCTACTACAATATTTGTATATTTAATACATGCTGTTTTAATTCCAACCTGGAAAGAATTGTAGCTCAGTACTGTTCGTGCATATGTTCCTCCGCTGTTTGAAAGACCCTGCGGCTCCTTTCACGAAGCAACCTTTACAAAGATTAACCTTAACTCCCATTCGTTAACATTACACTAAGGTTACCTCAGTGACTTACGATTACCTTAGTGCTTTGTGAAAGGAGGCCCAGGTGTTAATGCCTCTCGGCATGCTTCAAGAGACTAGATTTAGTGGAACCATTCTGATGATGAATCTGCAGATTATAATTGATTAAATTTTGATTGAAGAATATTTCTATTGTAAATTCAAATTCTATTTGAATGTGTCACCTACATCAAGGGGTGAAGGGATAACTTGTTTCTTTCTCCGTTAACGCAACAGCGTCAAAAAATTACCTTCACTGTGCTCAATGAATTGTCCGAAGCCAACGTGTCGTGTATTAAGATAGCTAATTAATGAACAGGAGGTGCATTATTAATTAATCTTAGCCACCAGCAACTGCAAACGAGTTTTGGCCTTTGATAATATGTGCATGAGTTGGTATGTTAGGAGCTTGTTTATCTAGTATAATATACATGTACATGTACATTGTGAAGCATGAAATAAAGCCTATCCTTGTACACAGTATTTGCGTGTCTGTTTGAATGTATGTCATCAGCATAATAATATGAAATACCGCTGTACCGGAATTTGAAATGTCGTTGACAAATTCCGAATTATACGACCATACGCAATATTGCTCGGTGCAACGTTCAACAACAACCAAAAACAAAACTACGAGTACATGAACCACCACCGTTTGAAAGTGTTGGTTTGACAGACACACCTGTGTCGTTACCCACGAAGACCCGGGTTAGAAATGGTGTTCAGCAACCCATGCTTGTCGTAAAAGATAGGCTCGGGTGGTCAGGCTCGCTGACCTGGTTGACACATGCGTAGATCCCAATTGCGTAGATCGATTCTCAGGATGTCAATGACTAAACTGTCTGATCCAGACACGATATTTACAGACCGCAGTAATGTAGGGAAAGAGTGCGGCGTTACACAACAAACAAACAATAACAAGTGTCTGTGTGTAGCTGTAGACAGCCATTGAGTGAGCGCGTGTGGACCTGGTAATCTCAGTGTATGCAATTTGTTTGAATCTCTGAACCGTTAGAATAATGAACCGTCACAATGTGTTAATGATGACACTCCATTCCATTCCATTGTTTCGTTTGGAAACAGATCTTTATACAATCATTATGTTCCAGCTATACTCATGCCAATAATGGTTGTCACCCCCTTCAATTATTTTAATTGGAGGTGTGTGTGTGTGTGGGGAGACAACCATTATTGGCATGAGTATATATGACGGCGGTCTGTAATTATTAGAGTCTGGACCAGGTAGTCCAGTGATGGGTTTTGATCTACGGAATTGGAATACCATGACGTTCACCACCCAAGTCAGAGAACCAGACCACCCGGTCCCGTGAGTTGCCTCTTACAAAAATGGGTTGCTGAAGATCAGTTTTAACCAGATCTTGTCTGGTCCAGACTCGATTATGTGTTCATCATATACACTTAACATTGCTCCATTAACAAGAAAAGACAAATTTTCCACGAGGCGCGTCATTCAAAGATGCCAGGAAGAGTTCTCCCCCTTAACAAGCAAACAACTCCACACCCTGTTAAATATTAGGCTGCACATGTATCGATCTTCAGTAAATGCAAAATATTACAGCAAGTCCACATGCTGTTTTGAGTGCAAATGTGTTTAGTTTAACGAAAAACTAAACAAACTAACGGGGTCGGGTGCTCAGGCTCGCTGACTTGGTTGACACATGTCATACATATACTATGCTTCCGTGGAGGTGAGGTGAGGTGAAATTGGGTTTAACGTCGTGCTTGAGAATATTTCGCTCATATGACGACGTGCATGCGTGTGTATGTGTATGTGCGGCTGCTTGTACTAGCCCTGACTCAAGCTGGTTTTGTAGTGCAAGCTCCATGTCGCAGTTAAGCATGAATATCCCATTCAGACACATTATACTGACTCCGAGCCGACCAGTCCTTGTCATACCCATTAATGGCGAGCGCCAGGCAGGAACCAACACGTACCATATTTTAACGTCTTTTGGTATGACGCGGAAGGGGAATCGAACCCGCGACATTCTGCTCTCCGGGCGTAACCACTATACCACGGAGGCGATCCCCGAGACATGAAGGAATGACACCGTATTAACCGTACGAAAAACGTCATTTCGCTCCCTATGCAAATAATACAGAGTAAGCAACATAAATAATGTCACCATTTACATCTGTTTCAGAATTATTATGCCAGGGACAAAGCTTTTTTCCCACTTAAAAGTAAAACGAAGGATGATTTTACTGGTGTTTCTTCGGGCGTTACAACACGAAGCGTTCGCATAATATGTAATAATAACGATATTGATGATTTGCGAGACGCCATCCAGTGAATAAATAGCGAAACCGAGCAATTATAGATGGCGTTTTTCATAGAACACCAAGTGGTAACTAAGCTGTTTTAATTACATTGATACCAACTTGAGTGTCTGTATAATCAGTATAGGGAAGTAGAAGTGGTGTCTCAGATTGTTTGAGTGCTACTTTAGCTGCAGCATCAGCCATTGTGTTACCAGAAATTCAACGTGGCTGGGTAACCAACAAAATACGATGTCGTATTGGCCAGTACCAAATCTGAAAATATGACCAATTGTCTATATTTACAATGGTTATTTATATAATGAAGAGCTGTTACTTTTGCCTTTGCTGTAAAAATGGAGACAATAAATTTAGAAACCTTAAACGACAGCCTAAGCTCGACTTTCAAAATATTGTCATGGAACATTGAGGGACTGAATACATATAACCACGAAAACAGTAAGCTGAAGGCAGTGTGTATCAGCTATGACATTGGTTCCTGCTGCGAATTCTCTGATCCATTCTTTAAATCCCTAAGCAAGTTTGCAAACTTTCTTGAAAGTCATAAATGTGAAAATTTGTGTGAGAAAGAAGACAAAGACATTTCGATTCAACGGTAGTGTTACGGTGTTGCTAAAAGAGTAATGGATTCTTAATGGAATTGTTACCAGACTATGTCAGGAATTTGATAAACCGTTTGTACTTGAAAGAAGCTGGAAATGGGATAATGACACTATTCTTTAGTTTACTTTTTTATCATCAGAAACCTCATTTGTATGTATAAAGCGAACTGGATGGTGTTGACGAACAAGAGAAACATTGTGAAACCATTCACGCTGGCCATTCGAAGAAAAACATGTTTATGGCTGATGGTATAAATGATAAAACAGGTGACCTTCTAGATGACATCCCTGAGGATAATATTGATTTTATTCAAGATGGCATCGATGACTATCCACGTGACCATTTTGATTAACCAGAGACTGCCATGAAAATAACTGTGGGTAACACAAAATTATTTGCAGCGTGGCATTGACATCATTAATGGTAGGCATTTTGGAGATAAACCGGATAAATACACGTGCTACACCGAGAAAAGATGCACCGTTACATTATGGCTTTAATTTCATTGTTTACACAATATTGGCTACCTCAGTGCTGAATCATGACTTTTCAAACCATTTCCCATGATATTGCTCCCTCATAATACATGGTTCATTCTGGTAAAATCCGTACCTATGTAGGGTGGACATTGTGTTAGACTTGGTAAAGGAAGTCAGAACCGGATAAAACGTGTATGGAATAAAACATTCAGTGACTTAGAGCATTTAGAGTCATCATTAATCTCTGGTTCTCATCTGCAGACTTTGCAAAGAGAAAACACAAACATTCAACACAAGGTATTGTTATGAAGATTGTTTTTTGTTAAGTATGTCACATTAATTAGCTTTTAGTTATTATGGGTCACAAACGTCTAAAGCGCTGAGAGTGCATTTGAAGTCACATCTTGAACTTAGGCTATGTAATTTCACCTGTTAAGGTTACACACCACCAAATGTTTTCCCATAGACTTCTATAGTAACCTACAGCACTAAATATACTTAAAATTGTGGTCAGTTTTAATTTCTGGTTGGATGTGCTTTTAAGAAACAAACATCTTACACTATTTCATCCAATCACAGCTGTCACATGTCTCTGTCTCTCTTCACTTGTTTACATACGGCTCTCGCGCAGGGAGCATGTGATACTGATTTAGTGTAGTGGAACCTTAAGAGAGTAAGCTAAGGAGTTAAGAGTTACCTCCTCTTCGTTGTTGTTGTTGCTTCCGGCGGGAGAGAAGAGCCGAGAAGAGCTTCGATGATTGTGTTTTGGCGTGGATTTCACTAAACAAAAGTCTATAAGAGGTATGTAAGGGATGACTGCTGAGATGTAAGAGGGACTACTACTTTGGATTTACGCTCGTCTGTCTGCTAACATCGACGTTTCAAGAGGACTCGTCTATACTGAAGTAAACAATCTTCAATCAGTGCATCCGTTATTAATGGGAACATCGATACTTTGGTGGGTTAATTTTTAGATTTGTGACCCAATATTTTAGATTTGTGACTCAATTGTATTGTATCGGAAACCTGTACTGTCATTCATTGTAACCTTTTTTTGTTTTTTTCAATATATCATTGAATATCATAAACTTGTCTGTGTTCTATTTTGCTGGTTTAAAGGGGACTCACAAGCTTTTTGTCTTAGTAATTTCTAAAAAAATAAGTATAGAATCACCACGCTCGGACTGTGAACTTGATGATGTGAAACAGGGGATTGGCCCAAAAATTAGAAGCGTCGGTCGGGCGATGAGAAACACAGAAAGTAAAAATGATGCCCTAATGAAGGACTGAACGGTGTTTCAACGAACATGTCATTTCATTCATTTATTACATTGAGTAATTAATGTCAGGATAGAAAAATAAGTTTTGGGGTGTGAATGAATGTGTGTTAAGTATTGATCACACACGGTGTATTTTCGTTGACGCCTTTTTGTGTTACAGACACACTGGCACACTTCGCTGCAGGAACCTTCCAGTACTTCAATGACCTTTAAATGTAACCTACATAACATAGCCAAAAGTCAAATTAGTCACAGCAGATAAATGGTGGACAAATCGAGGACAATACCCTCAAGTCCCGGAAACTGCTATCATTGTCTGTGTGTACCGACTGAAATTTTAAGATCAGTCTAGTAAGCTAGGGACCAACAAGCTGGGGTGTGCATGTGCGTGTGCGTGTGCGTGTGCGTGTGCGTACGTGTATGTACGTGCAAGGAGGCGTCTAAGAGTACAGAATAAAGCAAGTGAATATATTTAATCCATGACTCAATTTCCAAACATACAGCGTGACCCGTATAAACAAAGGCAGTGCGCTAAAGTGTATGTGACGTTTGTATTTATTCCGTTTTCCTAAACAAAACGCATTTCCATTAACATATTTTCATTTACTTATACCGATTGTGTAACTTTTGCACGTTCAATGTTCTTGTAGAATCTAATTCTGTCTTATCATTTTGTCTTTATATGACACATTTCCTGCGAACATGAACTGTGGGTTATACTCGTATGTACCTAATAACTTCAGTTATTTAAACACATTGTGTTGTCATCTTAAGTGGCCTTTTACTGACAGGTGATCATGATATTACAAACAC